TCCCGCGCGCGGCGGCTGCGTTGCTGAAGAAGAATTGCAAGGTCATCATCCCGAACTTTTGCGCTGTGCTCCAGAAGGAGGGGTTCTGCGACACGAAGGAGGAGGCGAACGCCGTCAGGTCTTTCGCTCGCAAGGCGAAGTGTCACTCCGACTGGGTGCGGATCCTGAGGCCCAGCATCACCATCAAGAAGAAGTGGATCACCAAGGCGTCCACGTGCGTCGACCTGAGCCCGCGGGTCATCGTGATGCCCGACGCCGTGCAAGTGACCGCTGCTGACCTCCCGTTCATCGGCCTCCTGGAGCCCGCCGTGCTCCCAGTGCTCGGCGGCCTCAGTCCTACCCAGTCGGCGGCCTCCTCGTCATCGGGCAGCGGCTCGCCGTGAGCGCAAGCCGCTAGCCGCTAGCCACCAGCGCTGTGTGGCCCGATAGGGCCCGATAGGGTGATGATGAGGACGGTGAGGATGATGGTAATGAGAAGGATGACGATGAGGAGGAACGGGAGGAGTTTCAGCGTAGTGATAGTGGCATCCCGATTCACCACGCTGGCAGCTGGCATCGTGTGATTTTCGTGAGCGTGGCTGCTGCTGCTGCACATCCTCAGCAGCTGCATCTAATTTTGTGGTGCATTCCGCAATGGGGTCATCGTCGCAAGACTCCGTATGGGGTACGGGGAACCAGCGAGGTCGTTTCAACGGTCGCGAGTCGGCTGTGTTTGGAGCAATCGCACGCTCTCAAAAAGTTTGTATGAGTCTGTATGGTCCTCCCCCTCCCGCCTCCTCCATATCCTCGCACCCTTCTTCCAGCCAGTGGTAATTCCAATCGTGTCCTCTCCACTTTTCAAGTTCGCCCCCCCTTGGCCCAAAGATATATATGATCTTCCCAAGAGCGGGTATTGCTTTCCAAACGAGCATTGCATATCCCCCTGAGAGTAGATAGCACACTCCTAACAGTAGATGAGGCCTTCCCAACAAGTCGATGGTCCTTCCAGAAGTATATCGCATCCCCTCAACAAGTAGGTGGGACTCTCCTAAAAGGACAGCAGACCGTCCCACCAAGCAGGCAGGACTCACCACTGAGTAGGTAGGTGTGCCCCAAAAGTAGAAAAGACCATGTCAATAAGGAGGCACGGCCCTCCACACAATCAGAATGGCCCCTCCCAAGAGGGAGATCTGACACCGACAACACGTAGATAGGAGTCTCGCGAGAAGTAGTTCGGACCCTCCCCCTCTCCTCCCCCGTGTAAGTGCATGAGCGCACGCGTTTGGGTATTATTTTTTACTGCCTCCTCTGGCACCTCCGCCCTGTACACAGTGTACACATTGTACACAGGGATCAGAGCCTGTAGCATCGGTGATATGCTACGGGCCGAAGTATCGGTGTAGGTATTGGTACGACCAAAGTACAACTACCAGCTACACCAAATCATGCCCGATCCGTGGGGCGAGCGTTTGCACCATGTTGGATTGCGTGTGCTGTTTCTCCTTACCCAAAAGATATCATGGTACCGTCGCCCGTAAACCTCCATAATTGCGAAGAGGAATCGCTTTTCACCCGCGTGAACCTTGCAGATGTTCAGGAGGACTGTACGCGGCGCCAAGGCGAGAGCTATATTTTGAAAACGGGTCGCGCTTTATCCAATTCTATCCTCCCACTAAGTAGGTAGGGCCCTCTGAAATAGGACCTTCCCAGCCAGTACATCGGCAAGGGGAAACAGATTTGACCTTCCAGCAGTAGCTAGGACCCTCTCAAAAGTAAACAGGGCCCTCCCGACAAGTAGATATGATATAGGACCTTCCCAACAAGTAGATATGATATAGGACACTCCCAACAGTGCGGTACTCAAAGATCGTGAGTTCTTACTCACAACAGCATAATTGTTGGGCCCTTCGCCAGGACGGTACTGTACCGCTCGCGCGGCCCTGCCGAGGCCACCGCCGATTGAAGACACAAACACACACACACACGCACACCGTCTCTTTTTGTGTATCTGGGCTCCTGCAAGCTCGCCCCGACAGCGAGCCGAGTAGGCTGGCTCATCAGTCCTCTCGCTACAGCTGTTTCGGCTTAGTCCATTAAGCGGCGCAGACATTCTGCTCTTGGGTGCAAGGTGCACCTCGGCGCCTGCGCCGACTCCGATGGGGGGCCACTCGGCGGCGACGCTGACCATGCAAAAGATCGTCGAGATCGTCGAGGAGTTCAGGGCCTTCGAGCAGGGCACCCTCGGCAAGTCGCCTATCACCGCGAAGCGGCACGGCTGCATCGTGAAGAAGGCCCTCGACAAGATGCTTCCAGCCGACCTGGCGGCGAGCTACATGTCCTACTTGGCTCAGTACGGCCCGTTCAAAGACAAGGGGAACACCTCTGGGGCACTGCAGGCGTTCTCGCTCTTCTGGCCGATGAGTGGCTTGAGCAGTTCGCCCGCGCCTCGATGGCCTCGTGGGGAGGTCGGGCCTCCCGCTGATCCTGTGGTGCGCCCACCGCATGAGGCGCAGCCGCAGCCCGCGAGCAGCCCCTCCGACGACAGCTCGGACTCCTCGGACAGCTCGTCGTCGTCGACGTCGGATGCGGATCCCGACAGCGACGCGGCGCCAGCTTCGCCAGCAACGACGCCAGCGCCTACCTCAGCGCCTGCGCCGACACCAGCGCCTACCACGGCCGCGCCGACGTCAGCGCCTACGACGCCAACGCCAGCGCCTACTACCTCAGGGCCGACGGGAGCACGCTCGCCGCTGCGCACGCACGGAACGCGGGCCACTGGCGGCCAGGGTCAGCCCAGCAACGCGAGCGCCAGCTCTGACTACAGCGTCGACGCCAGCTCTGTTCAGAACATCCCCGCGGGCCTGTCGTGGGGCGTTCCCAAGGGCCTCTCGGAGAGGTCGGGCCTCCCACTGTTCCTTGGCAGGTTCGCCACGCGCTTCGAGCCGCCGAAGGGGCCGAGTGTGGCGAGCTCATCCTCTTCGTCTGCGTCCCAGAGCTTGCAGCCGCAGCCGCCGAAGGGCGTGCTGAGGAAGCGCCGATCGCGAGGCCAAGGCGAAGCAGGCGAACACCAGCAGTACAAGACGAAGAAGGCCAAAACGGTCAGCTTCGCTTTCGAGGAGCGCCTGGCCACGCAGCGCTTCACGGAGCCCGAGCTGTACTGCTCGCGCCTCAAGATCGGGCCGTGGTTCGCCACGTGCGAGCGCTGCTACCGCGTGAAGCCGTACGGCAAGGGGATCCACTTCGGCAAGGTCTATTGCTCGCTGTTCGCCCAGCCGCAGTGGCTCTGCCAGGAGTGCAAGGGCAAGTTCCCTGACCAGCGCTGGATTTCCACCAGGGAGGTTCCTGGCCTTCTAGGCCTCTAGGCCCTAGGCCAGCGCTGGCAGGCCACCAGGGCTCCAGCTCCTCATCCTCTCGTTCCTCTCATCACTCACTTTACCTTACCCCTCCCCCTCGCCTCCCTCCCCCTCGCCTCGAGTGTCTTGCGCCGCTGCATTTTTTCCGCTTTGGGGGTTCGTAGGGCGGGAGACGCCGTGCGACTGCTGGTACGCTGGCTCATTCTAGGCGTCGGGGCGCCTGCAAATTGACTTCTGCCTTCTACCTCCTACCTCTCATTCATCGCTCCTACGTGTCACGCATGCTGTTTACGGTATCTCCGCTCACCTGCCGTTTGGGGGTCTCTTGTGAGATGTGTGCTTGCCGAGTCGGGCTTGAGGCTAAGTTGGCGTTCCCCGATCAGCGAATGCTGTAGATCCGATGTTTCCTGGCCAGCGCATGCTGCCGATCTTGTTAGTAGTTAGTAAGTACCTACCTTCCCACGTTCGGTCTAGGCCTCATGTTCTATATTAGCGCATGCTTCGCACGGGTATTCATTCCATTGGCCGCTGGGCATAGGGTTTCCAGCGTCGGATGTTCGAGTCTCTGGGGGGGGGGTCTGGTGTGGAGGTTAATCGGCCCCCTAATGACCCTAATGCATCCCTCGTTGCACATTTTATCCTGGGCATCGCGATCTGCTCAACAATTGAGGCAGGTCGACGGGCCTCGGGCTGAGGCCGCGCGATCTCGTCGCGGTTGCGCGCTCGAATCGTCTGGGTCTTTCTGAGCGCCTGCTGTAGAAGATCACTCGCCCCCTCCAGATACGTATCTATTCAGGGTCGTCGCGATCGGCTCGCCGATAGACAAGTCGCAGGGCTTGCGAGCACCCAGCTTTGCTCGCAATCTGCCGATCGCAAAATCACTTTATCGTTGCAGGGGGAGGCCCGCGAGGACAGGGGGGAGGGATCGCTTAGGCTTAGTCTCGGTCCTCATGCCCCTCGCCATCGTCATCCTCCGCCTCGCCCTTCTCCTCCTCGTCCGTCCCCTACTTGTATATACCATCGTTCTCCGTGCGCCCGCCCTGCTCGGACCATTCTGGAGCTCAGGGCGCGTCGTCATGCACGCAAGGCGTTCCTATGTTGTTTAGGGTCTCTCATTGCGTATGCCATGCAATGCCATGCCATCCAGGCTCCCATCGTTCAGTGCGCGGTGTAAGGCCCCGCTCAGTGCATGCTATGTTGCGAGGTCAGTTCCAAGTGGTTCTGTTTATGCGCATGCTGGTCAGGGTCTGCCCACCTGTGTGCGACAGTGTGGGAGGGGGGGGGGGGGGAGAGGCGCTTCACGTGCGTCCGAGTGTGCTCGGTGCCCCCAACGCGCGTGCTGTTTAGGGCCTCTCCAAATTCTTGGCGCTTCGCGCATCCCCGCCAGCACATGCAGGAACGGCGCCCAGGCGAGTTGAGGTGATCAGGGAAGTGCGGGGCAAAGCAGGGGATCGCCGAACCGTGCGTCTTGGCCTAATTAGCGTCGCAAGCAAGTCCCCGACAGCGTAGCGGGCACGGCCCTGGGCTGTGGGCAAGATGGAGGGGCCGCCCTGAGCACTAGTCTAGCCACCAGGGTCTCGTGATATTTTTGCGTTTCCCAGGCTGGGCCAAGCTCATGTTGCCTTCTCGTGCCAGGCGCCGAGGCTCTGCAACTCTAGCGCGACGCCAATGGACCAGGCCTCTTTCTTTCTGACCAAGTTCGTGGTGGACGGGCTCGCCGAATTCATTGCCCTGGGGGAGCAGGGTGTCGACATTGTGAATGCCTTCGTTGGTCTGGCATCGCAGTTGCTACAGATGCCTGACGATGACGAGGTGTATATCGAGAAGGCGCCTGCAGTGGCATTGAACTACTTGCAGCGCGTTTTGAAAGTTGTCAACTTCCTGGACGGCGTGCAGCCATCCAGTTCGACGCCACCCAGCGTGTTCGCCGACATCCAGTCCGTGGTGAACGGCCCGTTGAAGGGCAATGCCGATGGCGACCCTTTCGCGTTCGTCGGCAAGGCTCTCGATCAGGAACCGTTCTGGAAGAAAAAACTCGGGATCCTCGAGCGCACGGCGACGATGTGCTCTCACCATTTTCCTGAGATGAACCGCGTCATCTCTCTCATCAAGAAGCTTTCCACTGACCCTTCTGCGGATTACCTGGAGAAGTTTCACGACTACTTGCGGCAGGTGCAGTTCGTCTTGGAGGCCGTTGGCGCCGAATTTGGCAAGGACCTGGAGGCCGCGACCCTGAACTCGTTGACCACTTCAGTCCATGAGTTCCTAAAGCAAGCCAGCGACGGGACCATCCTCCCAGCTATTGGCGCTAAGCTGGCGGCCTCGTACATCGAAGTCCTACACACGGCAGAGACGGTCATGCCTTTTTCCTGTGAAGTTGGTCGGTGCACGGAGGAGGTCAAGAAGAAGAAAACGGAGCTGGAGACTTCGAAGAACAAGAGTTCTTTCCTGGAGGTGCTTGATTCCGTCGCCAGCGGAACATGCTCAGCTGAGGATTTCAAGAAGATCGGTGAGACCACGGATTTGTCACTAGTGCAGGGCGACTCGGTGGTTCAGGCGAAGCTTTCGGACGCGCTGGAGTCGACCTTGAAAAAACTAGTAGATGCGGATGCGATTCCAGCCTCTGACCTCGAGCTTCTAGAGAGCATGCAGGACACGATGAACTCCGCCATCCGCTCCAGGGCGAACGTCGCGGTGAAGCACCTCCGCGCTGTCATGAATCTCAACGACGCTTTGGCTATGGTCTTCGCATTGGGCGATGGCGATATCGCCAAGGTGGTTGGGCACGCGAAGATTGACGACGAGCTCCATAAGGCCTCCAGGGCGGTCAACCAGGTGAAGGCTTGCCCATCGGCGACTGCAGGTGATGCTACCTTGATCGCGCTCACCGCCAAGTGCGCGGGCATCGCCGAGAAGCAGATCAGCGACTACCAGCAGGTATGCGAGAAGTTCGTGGACTCCTTGCGGGAGGCGGCGCGCCAGGCTTTGGCCAAGTTCGGGTCGGGCCTGCTGGACAAGCTGAAGGCTGATCAGTGGATGAGCGAGATCAACGCGTCCGTGGATTGGGACGAGGCGAAGAAGATCACCGCCACCGTTCTCGCCGACCTCAACGACGAGCAGATCTTGGCGCACTGCAGTGCGTGCAAGAAGGCGGGTGTCCCAACAAGCCGTTAGGTGGATTCGTGGCGGAGGAGCGGATGATCATGAGGAGTGGTTGGGGGGAAGGTGGACGAGAAGGAGGAGGAGGATTGTGATAATGACAGGCAGTAGTTTGGAGAATGGGGGTGAGGCTTGGGAGAATGCTCCCACCTTGGACGCCAGGGGATGAGGAAGGGTACGACGAGGTGCATCTTGCTCCCCATCGTCCACTTCCTCAGCTGCCTCGCCCACCCCTGCGCCCGCTCGCCGCTTCGCGCCGCCACCGCCACCTCCGCTCTCAACCCGCTCCCTCGCCAGGCGTTCGAGGCCTACTCCGAGAAGTCCAAGGAGCTCAAGTTGGCGGTCGACGCTGAGCTGAAAGGCACCGTTGACGACGCGCTCCACTGGGTCCAGAACGTAACGTTCGCATACATGGTCGTGAAGGGGAAGCTCGACAATGAGGGCAGCACCAACCCAGCAGTGGACACGCGCGAGGCCATGGTGCAGCTCCAAGCCCGCATGTCTGAGGCTGGGTTTGTGCCTGGCCGCCGTCTCCCGTCGGTGGTGCTGAGCTTCTACAGGGCTGGCTTGCGCATGGCGTGACGCTCGGGCGACTGCCCGCGGTAGAATCACTGTGGTGGGAAGGAAGGCGACGACGAGCTCGATTGTCATAGGGCGGAAGATGATGATAATGAGCAGGTGCATGGTGGTGATGATGATGATGACCCCGATGATGGCCATGAGGACGTTAGACGATGCGGGCTGCGATGATGATCTCGGCTACGACGACGACGGCGATGGGCGATGCGCCTGCTCATCACGGGGACGGCGGCCGTAATGCTGGAGGCTCCTTTTGCGATGCCTCTCAGGAAGTGCTTCTCAGGAGGTGCTGCCCAGGGCAGGCTTCCCCAGAGGTGCTTCCCAGGAGGCGCTTCCCAGGAGGTGATTCCCTTGAGGGTCTTCTCAGGAGGCGTTTCCCAGGAGGCGCTTCCCAGGAGGTGATTCCCAGGATGGGGCTTCTCAGGAGGTGATTCCCAGGAGGGGCTTCGCAGGAGGCGCTCCCCAGGAGGTGCTTCCCAGGAGGCGCTTCCCAGGAGGTGCTTCCCAGGACAGGCTTCCCAAGAGGTGCTTCCCATGAGGCGCTTCCCAGGAGGTGATTCCCAGGATGGGCTTTTCAAGAGATGTTTCACATGAGGCGCTTCCCAGGAGGTGCTTCCCAGGACAGGCGCCGCGCCCCCGACCGCCTCATCCGGCCCTCCTGCCTCGTTCTCTCCTTCCCGCTCTCCTTTCTGCCTGGCTCCTTTCCGCAGCCTTGGCAACTCTTCCTCACCTCCCCTCCTCGGTGGCGCCTGGCCGCGTTGCGCTAGCCACGGGGTGGCTCGAAGTTTTATGAGTACCTTACCATGCCGAGGGTTCTCGGCTCTCGGCCACTTGGCCCTTTCAGTCGGAAAAATGGCCCTTGCAGCATCCGCCCCCGTGCCCTTTTCTCTTTCTCTCACTCTCCCCCATCATTGCTGAGTCATGTTATTGCCCCTGCTCCTGCTCCCCCGCCGTTGCAGCTGGCGTGCCGCGTCGGCCGTCCCACCTGCCCTCCAATCCCTGCCCATTGCGTTATTCAAGTGGGTTACGCCTTGTGGCTTGAAGGAGTTAGAGCTCGCGACGTCCGTGGAGGTTATCCAGAGTGGTATTCGGCACAACGCGCCACTGTGCCTCGGCTGTGGGTCAGGGCCTCTTGGGTGGCATATGAGGGTCTCGTGGGATGCTCTTCAGGGTTCTCGTTGCGTTAGTCTCTCCCTCGGTCGAGTCTGGTATCTGATGTATCCTGAGCGCTCATGCGCGCCCTGCATTGGTTGCCCCGTCGTTCATTATGTGAATAGCAATGGGGGCCAGGCAGTGCGCGCGGGCGAGGGCGGAAAGAGCGCGTCGCCCCCCTCGACATTGGTTTCTCCTTCTCGGTCTGTCCACTCTTTTCCCGCTGCCTTCACCCTGCCTTTCTTCACCGTCCTTCTCCGAATATAGTGCCCGCGCTGGCAATGATCATAACATTATGTTGTCATCGTTCGTGCACACCCAGTCACGCTGATACAAACAAAACAAAAAAACGCAAAAAAAAAAAAAAACAACAAAGCCCACGACATTTGTTCAGACATTTTTTGGCTATTTTATGTTGTGCAAGACGTGGGTAGGCTTAAGGGCCCCTGGGGACATTTGGTGTGTTTTCCAAGATCCCGCAGTCTAGCGGGTCACGTGCACCACGGCCTTACTGGCTTGTCGATTTTCGCCAACCCGACTTCTCCCGACTTGGCCGTCGACTTCCGCCGACCCGATTCATTTCGATCGCGGATCTGACATCGATTCGATCGTGGACTCTTTTCCTCCTCCTCCTCTTCCTCCTCTTCTTCCTCCTCCTCTTCTTCGTCCTATTCCTCCTCTTCTTCTTCCTCCTTTCTTCCACCTCCTCCTCTTCTTCCTTCTCCTCTTCCTACCCCTATTCCTCCCCCTCCTATTCCTCCTTCTCCTCCTTCTCCTCCCCCTCCTTCTCCTCCTGCTCTTCTTCCTCCTCCTCCTCCTCTTCCTCCTCCTCCTCCTCCCCCTCCTCCCTCCTCCTCCTTCCTCTTCCCGCCTCCCTCCTCCCTCCTCCCTCCTCTCTCCTCGCTGTGAGCTTCCTGTCCCTCCTCCTTCCTCCCTCCTCCCTACTGGACGGTGTGCTTCCAGAACTGCTCCTTCTCGACGCCAGCGCCAGGGTCGGGTCCATTGTTTCTGAATCGCATGGAGCGGTTCAGGCTGACCTACAACATTTCCGGGGGGAAATTTTCCATTGTACGTTGCGAACACGGCATATCTGGCTCCCTTCTACGTTCTTTAATGCGCGAGGTTCAGGTGCTACTTGGCATGCGCCCAGAGACCAGAGAGCAGAGAAAGGAAAACGTCTTGATTCCATGGCGTGTTCTGCTCACGTACACGTACATAGTGCTTCGGTACAGCACTCCATCGATTTATCCATCAACGTAGTGGATCACACAGCAATCGGGGCAGTACTTCAATTTCCTCGCTCTGCTCCAAGCTTTCGTGTACCGCAGTATTATACCAATAACACATGCAATCCCGAGGCTTTTAACGATGCGGAAGCTGCAGCAGCATTTGCTGCGCAGGTCCGCGACAATGCACCGCGGATAGAGTTTGCTGTTCATCCCAATGATCACTGTGCAGCGAGAGCGGATTTGTTGCATCAGTCTTTGCCAGCGTTCTTTCCAGTGCAGTCCACATCGAGAGGCCGCGCACAAAAAGGCAGGCGTGGCTCCCAGAGGCATCCCTACAGAGTATGGATCTGCGTACTTTGTGGATGAGCAGATGTCGACGCATGATTTTTTTTGGATCGAATCGCACTAGCTATTTTTTCGTGCCTGGGCTATCCCTACGTGTGAGCCTTGGTGGAGTATGTCTCGGCTTTCTTATACGCGTAGCCTGAGGTCCCCCAAAGCCTCCACGGCCTGTTGGGCTCGTCATATACTCAAAGCTTTTGCTTGGACGCATCTTATTTGGCAGCACATTCAAGACATCATGCATGAGCTCAGTAAAGGTTAACTACAAGGTCCCTGTGGCATGGCTCTACATTTGGGACCAGAATGAGGTCCCTGCAGTTACCCCCAGGTGTGTTTTGGATCCTGCTAGGTATCCAGCGTCCTCAAGGAGTGCAGTCTTGGCTACTTCGACTTAGGCGTAGTTCGGACATCACATATGCACACAGGCTAGTGGCTATGAAATCATCCACGAAGTATGTTAACATGCAGGTTTGCAGCGACGCCGCGTATCATTATGTTACCATTGCATGATCTATATCCAGCGCGTGGTCGGTTCACGATCATGCGCGAGCTTTTTCTAGACTTCAGCGTATAGGAGCTTGCTCTCGCAAGAAGGCCCGCACTTCCCCCCTCTCCCGATCTTGAAAGGGTTTGACGACCGACCCATCTAAGCTGAAGGAGATGTTGCGTATACGTGGGCCCGACACTTTGCCGCCAATGAGGCGGGGGCGGTTATGCCGAGAGAAGACCTCGCGTGGTTCGAGGCAAACGCGCCAGCGTGCCCAGAGCAGTATTTCACCGACCTCGGTTTTCTATTGAGGACTTGCCTACCCTTGCTCAATTTGAACGTGTTTGCAAGACAGCCAGACATGCTGCAGCTGGCCCTGACGGGATAACAGGCACCATGGTGGCCAGACTATTCAAGCCTATCGCGTCTCTGGTATTCCCTCTTATCACCAAAGTTTTCTTGAGGGCCGCGGAACCCATGCAGTGGAAATGAGGTTTTTACTGGCCATTGTTCAAAAAAGGAGACCCAGGTAACCGTGATTGCTACAGATCTATTTTGGGATCTTCTCAGCTAGGCGAAAGGCCCAGGGCTTTGCTCAGGGCCCGGGTAGCAGCGCTCCTACCGGCTCGCGCCGGGCCGCGGCAGCGCGGGGGAGTCAAGGGGGTAGGAACCGATTATGCAGCAGTCGAACTTCGCGCAATTCAACAGCTGGCAGTGCAACGCCACCTGTGCCCTTTTCTTGCCGCGGGGCGCGACCCATGCCTTTTGCAAGTGTTTGCGCGAGCTAGTATTTTGCACGGCCAACTCCCAGTCGGCCGACGCAGTGCAGCGCGTGCTCGCGCTCGCAGGTGTACCGCAGTCAGTAGCAGAGGGGCTCGCGCAGCTAGTTGTCACTGAAGGCCCTCTGTTTGATGCGCCACGTCTCCCTCCCCGACTTCATGCCATGGTTGCCGGCGTATATCGTATGTCGTGGTTTGTGGTGCCTGGTTGTTCGTCCATAGCTTTCCCCGCCATCGGTTCGGGACCTGGGCAACAGCTAGGAGACCTGATATTCAATTTTGTGATGGGCTCGGTTATGCAACTGGTCCAGGGTCGTCTTTTGGAGTTGGGTCATGAACTCAGGTCCCCAGTTCACATTGCAGGATGCATCGACATAGGTAAAGGCGACAACGTAGCAGCATAGCAGATATGAAACGATTATTCCATGGATTTTCTGTTGATTAAGAAATGATTCGTTATTCGTGCTTATGTGCTGTGCCAAGGCGCTGCAATCTATTGCGCCCTTTCTTGTGGGCATCATATTTGATTCTTTCGCCGAGCGAGGCGTGGGGCTGCATAGTGGCCGAGGTAAGTCAGCAGCTTTATTGAATCGCTTCGCTCATTCCGCCGGCCCGTGATATGGCATCGCTGGTTTTTGTCTGTGTGTTCGTTGCCCATGTTGCGCTCTTGGGGGCGGGTGTCGTTCGGGCGCGTTGCGTGGGGAGTTTTGATGGTGAAGCAGTTCCCTGGGGGTCGTCTCTCGATGGGGCGAAATAGAGTCGTCGTCAAGATGCTTCTTTGGGGGGCCTCTTGGGGTCTGTTGAGAGGCCGTTCGGGGGCGCCTGGGAGACATGTTTGAAGCCTTCTGGGGCTTCTTTTGGGCCTTCTGGGGCTTCTTTTGGGCCTCCTGGGAGTCTCCTGGGGCCTCTTGGCGACATCTTGGGGCCTCTTGGAGGCCTCTTGGGGCCTCTTTGGGACCTCCTGGGCGCCTTCTGGGACGGAGGGCTCCATTTTTGAGTTCTCGGTATCCCTCCTGAGTCCCTCTTGGGCCCGTCTTGGGGCCTCTTGGTCCGTCTTGGGCGGCACTTGGGCCGTCTTGAGGGCTCTCTTGGGTCGTTTCGGCGCCGTCTTGGGAGCTTCGTGGGCCGTCTTGGAGCGGTCTTGGGGGCCTCTTGGGCCGTCTTGGAGCGTCCGGAAGCCGAAAAAGCCAGAACACAAAAAACATAGAAAAAACAATGAAAATCAACGATTTTGGCCTCTTGGGGCTCTCTTCGGAGGCCTCTTGGAAGGCTCTTGGGGCGTCTTGGAGGCCTCTTGGGCTGTCTTGGGGGCCTTTTGGGCCGTCTTGGGGTCATCTTCAGCGTCTTGGAGCGCTCTTTGGGCGTCTCGGGGGCCTCTTGGGGCACTCTGAGCGCGCTCTGGGGAGCCTGAGAGGCCGCGCCCAGAAGGAAAACCATCTCTGAGTAGACTTGGTCGGGCGGTGGTCGGGCGGCGGTCGGGCGGCGACCGGGCGTTGGTCGGGGTGCTTTTCGCCGGGGGACCCCCAGGGGCCGCCCCGCGCGCGCGAACTAGAAATTCGCCGGCCCAACGGGCCAGGGCGTGCTGAGATCTCCGGTAACTGGTTAACAGTATTAACAGTATTTCTAGTTCGCGCGCGCGGGGCGGCCCCTGGGGGCCCCCCGGCGAAAAGCACCCCGACCAACCGCCGCCCGACCGCCGCCCGACCGCCGCCCGACCAAGTCTACTCAGAGATGGTTTTCCTTCTGGGTGCGGCCTCTCAGGCTCCCCAGAGCGCGCTCAGAGTGCCCCAAGAGGCCCCCAAGACTGCCCAAGAGGCCCCCGAGACGCCCAAAGAGCGCTCGAAGACGCCGAAGATGACCCCAAGACGGCCCAAAAGGCCCCCAAGACAGCCCAAGAGGCCTCCAAGACGCCCCAAGAGCCTTCCAAGAGGCCTCCGAAGAGAGCCCCAAGAGGCCAAAATCGTTGATTTTCATTGTTTTTTTTTGTTTTTTGTGTTCTGGCTTTTTCGGCTTCCGGACGCTCCAAGACGGCCCAAGAGGCCCCCAAGACCGCTCCAAGACGGCCCACGAAGCTCCCAAGACGGCGCCGAAACGACCCAAGAGAGCCCTCAAGACGGCCCAAGTGCCGCCCAAGACGGACCAAGAGGCCCCAAGACGGGCCCAAGAGGGACTCAGGAGGGATACCGAGAACTCAAAAATGGAGCCCCCCGTCCCAGAAGGCGCCCAGGAGGTCCCAAAGAGGCCCCAAGAGGCCTCCAAGAGGCCCCAAGATGTCGCCAAGAGGCCCCAGGAGACTCCCAGGAGGCCCAAAAGAAGCCCCAGAAGGCTTCAAACATGTCTCCCAGGCGCCCCCGAACGGCCTCTCAACAGACCCCAAGAGGCCCCCCAAAGAAGCATCTTGACGACGACTCTATTTCGCCCCATCGAGAGACGACCCCCAGGGAACTGCTTCACCATCAAAACTCCCCACGCAACGCGTCCGAACGACACCCGCCCCCAAGAGCGCAACATGGGCAACGAACACACAGACAAAAACCAGCGATGCCATATCACGGGCCGGCGGAATGAGCGAAGCGATTCAATACTGTTAATACTGTTAACCAGTTACCGGAGATCTTAGCACGCCCTGGCCCGTCGGGCCGGCGAATTTCAATTCTGCGGCCCAGGCGCGATCAACGCCAAGTTGGCCCTTTGGAAGCGCGCTGATGGCACCCTTCATGTCAGGTCCAATGCCCGTGGCCAGTTTCAGCTCAATGCAGTGCGCCGGCACGCGCGACTGGGCGCGGTCCTGGGCGAGGGCAACAGTATCTTACCAGAGCTCTCTCATAGCTATCATAGCTGCGCGGGCCCCTGGAAGACGCTCCGTAAGGTCTTACGAGAGCCCCTACTTACTACTCGTATTGGCGTGGTCTTGGTGGATTCGCTCATTATATCAAGCAGATGGTATAATTCCAGCACGTGGCCTACTTTGACCCCCGCTCAGATCGCCAGCCTGGACGGTGACGTTGCACATATGTACCGTGCAGTACTTAAGCAGCCTAGGAAGGACAGCGCTGCCCTCCATAACGCCTATATCAGAGCCCAGATTCTCAAAGCGGACGTTAGCGCGTATATCAGGGCTCACTGTCTAAGGCTATTTTGGGGACTCGTCACCAATGGGCCTTCCACCTCATGGGGCTCATGGGCGTCTTGCATCGGGAAGTTGCGGAGTCTTTGGTTGCCCTCGTTGTTTCAGATTTAGTATGGGTGCGTGACTACACGCGTGCTGTGCGTGATCTTCCAGATCCGCGCGAAGATTTACAAGCCTGGGAACGCTGCGCCCGACGATCCAAGAAGCATTGGAAGTCCGTCGTGGCCGACGCAGTGCGCAAGAGTGCAGCTTGCCAGGCCAGGCCCGCCAAGGCCGACGAGGCCGCCGCATACATTTGCATGAGATTGTACGAGGCAGGGGCCCCACATGCAGTCTATGACCCTCTACGCCCACTCCGTGCTCAAGAAAAAGAGAAGGCGCATAACTGTGCGTGTATGTGGTGTGGTCTGAAGTTTGAACACGTTCGTGGTATCAGGCAGCACGTCGCTCGGTTACCTAGATCCTTCACACGTACCATGCGTTCAGTATTGGGTGACACTACTACTACGTGTGAATACTGTAGCATGCAGTTCGCTAGCCGTGGCGCCTTGGCCGAGCACCTCGCTAAGGGCGCGCCTAAATGTGCCGTTGCTCTCTTAGCCAGCGGTCAGGATCTTAGTGGAGGTCCATTTGAAGCCAGTCGCATGCAGGATTTGATCCTCGCTCTCAACTCGGAGGCTGAATCAAGGGCGGCCACCAACAGATCATTGGGTATGGGCAAGTGGGGGCCAGCCTACCCTTCAAGAAAATGTACCCCATCACGCCCCCCTACTGAGTTTGAGCAGCACGTTATCGCCCTGCTTCCTGACGCTGAGGCCAGAGCGGTTCTGGTGGAAGCCGATTATGTGTTTTTTGTTGTCGGAGGAAGCTGCGGCCCAGTGCGTGGGCTTGGGGGCTCCTTAGATCAGGGCCCGCTCGGGACCGACGCTTTTGGATGATCGGTTCTGGTCCTTTCGGCCTAGGGATTTTCAAGAAGAACCGGCCGCTGACATTCCGTATCGCATTCGCCGATCGGAGTTTTTCGCGCTCGATGTTTTCTCGGGAGTGAGGCGCGCTTGAGATATCCAGTGGCGCCTCGATCGCGCTATGCATGATGATCCCAGTTTCAGTGTGTAGTGTTTATCCCTCGACATTGCTATCGATGCGGTTAGAGGCGATTTAACCCCGCCCCAAGCGCTCGAGCATTGGGCCGAGCACATTAGAGCTAGGTCGGGGGGGGGGGGGGGGGGGCGCCTTGCGAGACTTGGTCTGCGGCGAGGTGGTGCGAAGGGGTCCCCCCATTAAGGACGCGAGAACATGTTTGGGGGATCCCATAGTGCACCCCATGTCAAAACTTGCAGGTCGAGACCGCATCCCAGCTTTTGTTTGCCATTACGTTTCTACTTTCTGTCCATGTGCAGGTGGGTACTAGCGGATGGCTCGAACACCCCATCCCCGCCACTTGGATCCCCGCTGCCCCTACTTCTTTTCGTTGGCCACCGTTGGTAGCCCTCCGTTCTGCCCCAGTCGCTTCCACTGCGGATTTTGACCAATGCGAGCGAGCATTGGCCACAGGGTGCGGACATGTCCAGTAAAGGCCGTGCGCCCACAAGAATTCTCTTTCTCCGCGTGCCAATTTTGGCTGAGGAGCGTAGATGCACTCCTGGTACAGGAAGATGTTCGCATGAGAAAGGCACGCGCATCTCTCTCTTAGGCAAGGAGAGCAGCAGATTTCGCACCTTGGGGAAAAAAGGTTTATCCCTCGGGTCTGTGCAGGGCTCTGGCCCGCGCCATCCTCGCTTCAGTGGCTCAAATTCTTGCCTCTGAAGAGGGGGATGCCGACTTCGTTTTCTCTCGCGATTCTCCCGAGGTGCTGAGTGCTCTTTTCGATTTCTTAGTTCCCTGGAGCGACGATGCTGACTCACGTTTCCTAGTCCCGTCGGACTTTGGAGCCCGGAAGCAGAATCGCAAACGAGCTGACCCTGAGAAGCACAGGTTTTTCTCTGAAGCAGCTCGAGAGACAGCTAAGCAGGCCGACAGCGAAGCTGAAGAGGAGCAGCTATACATCGATATGCAGGCAACGCCTACAGACAGGGCAGGAGCTTTAGCTACCGCCCAAGACGGCCATTTTGGCCCGTCACACTCCTCTCCTCCTTTCCCTTCTCCTGCGTCGTCGACGCCGTCTGTTGTCCCCCTTCCGCCTCCACCTCCAGTCTTGAGCGAGGCGCAGCGTGCCCGCATCGAGACCAACCGAAGTGCAGTCAGGGCTAGGCGCGCGGAGCGCGCCAGGCAAGCGCAAACACTCAGAGCTCCATGGGGCGCTGGAGGCACGCTCAGAGGCACTTTCTTCGGGGAGCCCGCAGGGGTTCGGGGCCCCGATCTTTTCAACCTTGGAGGCTAGGCCGGTGGTGGTGTAAATGGTGGATCCTCGTGAGGTCCCAAGCGCCACCCGCCGGTTTGCCTCTCGGGACGAGCACGCAAGACAGTGAAGCCGAGCGTCGCATCATCATCACCTCCCTATTCCCTCCTCCCTCCTCCCTCTTCCCTTCCCCATCCTTCCTCCTCCCTCCTCCCTCCTCCTCCCTTCTCTCTCCTCCCTCCCTCATCCCTTATCCTCCCTCCTCCCTCCTCCGTCCCTCCTCCTCCCTCCTCCCTCCTCCCTCCTCCCCCTTTCCGTCCTCCCTCCTCCCTCTTCCTTCCTCCTTTCTCCTTTGTCCCTCCTCCTCCTCTCATCCTCCTCCTCCTCCTCGCCCTCCTGCTCCTCTCCTCCTCCTCTTCCTCCTCCTCCTCTTCCTCCTTCTCCTCCTTCTCCTCTTCCTCTGCCCCCTGAGCATCCCCAGGTGGGCGCAGACGGACCCCGTGGAGTTCCGGCGGGCCACCGAGAACTCGGGCCGCCTCGGGGCTGTGGAGCGCGTCGGCGCGCTTGTGTCGGGGTGCCAGCGCGTGCTGGACCTCGTGGTCGTCGTCGTAGGAGGAGGAGGAGAAGGAGGAGGAGGAGGATTGACTGATCTCTTCGCTAAGCAGGAGGCTCGGACAAGAGGGAGGAGGAAAGCTGTAGGCGAGCCAGCTCGGACGCAGATGGCCAACCGAATCACTACAGACAGCAGAGGCCACCCACACCGCCAGGCAGGCAATACCGATAACCCCCAACCAACCGCCGACGCCTGGCAAGTCCTCACAATAACTAAATATGCGGTCCCAGCCGTCAGTGGGCACAGGCCTCGTGTGTGATTGGGTGCAGCCCAAGGCTGGAGCGGCTGAGAGTGAAACAAGTAGTATACATCCTACGCTCAACATCCATGGGAGCGAAACTGTGTAAGACAGCGCAGCCGAGTCCAAGGCTGTTGCTGGAATTGTGGGAAGTTCAGGTGCAGGGCTGCTATCCCATTGGGTGGGATTGTTGCTTTCCCGTCCCCCCCCCACCAAAGCCACCACCGAAGATTATGATGATGAAGAGGAGGATGAGGGGGAAGAGGATCATGAGGATGATGATGATGATGATGATGATGATGATGATGATGATGATGATGATGATGATGATGATGATGATGGTGATGATGATGATGATGATAATGATGATGTTGCGGATGACGATGCTGCTGATAATGATGCTGATGCTGCTGATGATGATGATGATGGTGATGATGATGATGATGATGATGATGAGGATGAGGATGAGGATGAGGATGATGATGATGCTGATGCTGATGATGAGGAGGAGGCGAAGGAGCAGGAGCAGGAGGAGGGAAGAAGGATAATGACGATGATGATGATGATGCTGATGCTGATGCTGATGCTGATGCTGATGCTGATGATGCTGCCGCCGACGACGACGACGACGACGATGATGATGATGATGATGATTCTGATGATTGTGATTGTGATTGTGATGGTGATGGTGATGATAATGATGATGAGATAGTGATGATGTTGATGATGATGATGATGATG